CAGTGGCAGAACACACGCGCCAAAAAATACACTCAAATGATTTTGATGTTGAAGATCTGTGCAAAACTAGTTACTATTGTCCAAGACTAATTAGAGAATCTGTCGATATTGAGATGAATTAAAATAATTTTAACCGTTCCAATAGCTACAGGCTTAGTGCTGCTTGGAAGCGAATTATCAAGTAATACACTTTAACTGCATGCCTATACACGTCACCATATACATCGATGGTGATTAACTGTGAGCAGACAACAGGTACTGCGATTTCTTGCACCCAAAAATGGAAGAATGTACAGGCATGGTGTGCATGCATAATTACGCATGTTGATTACCCTATGAATAACCCAACCGGTAATGGTATCCGTTGTAATTTATATGCATACGATAACCCTCCCCCATCGGCCTTTGTCCCTGATTGGCTCACAAGTGACAACATCACATGTATCTCCCGAAGCAGGAGGATTTCTCCACAACTCAGGCTGTCCGCCTGATGATGCTGGTTGTGATTACTGGCGAAACGTCGTACTCGAATTGTAAATGTTGTGGGTTTACTCTCCAACACACCGGTGTGCTGAACTAATTGGCATGTTTTATTTACGTGACGAACCTTACTTAGTCTGTGTCGGGTGGTGGCGGGTTTAACGAGATATTTACGCGCTCCAACCCAAAAACCTCTCTTATGGATGAACAATAAGTTGTTTCGATTTAAAGCTTTTGTGACTGCAGGGATTCATATTCTTGGTTCTTTCGGTAAAGTCACGTAGAAGGGAAATAATAAAATAATACAAATAAAACAATACAATTGTCACATTTCGATTGCAACACAAGCAATCATCAGATCAGATCACGTCGCGAGAATTTTATTGTTTAATTTGTATTTTATTATTTCCCTTCTACGTGACTTTACCGAAAGAACCAAGAATAAAAATTTGTTTGATTATTGATGATTAGTTAATTGCCTTCACTGTGGGATTTCATAAATACAGATCAATTGTATTTGAACTAAAATGTATAAGTTACGTTGTCTATGTTCATGTAAAAGACTGTATTCATGCCCCATGCTATAGCTACTATAGCATGTAGCTATTAGTAGAACTTAAAGAGTTTCAGTGTGTGGAGTCTGCGTGACTGTGGGCGAGTAAGGGAGCGGTAGTGTAGCGGTTAGCGCTGCGCTGCACTACGAACCTGGCCACCCGAGTTCGATTCCCGCTCATGGTCAACACCAGTCATGACTACCTGAACTGGTCATGGGCCTCCCCTTGGACAACTCAGCCTCATATAAGTACCTGGTGCAGTGCATAAAAAACATTGCCACTAGGGAGACAAAGGCGACCACCCACCTCCTTCACGTGCCGTGCCGGCCGTCATAAGTCGCTTGCTAACAGCACTTGCCCCAACAGTCTGTTCAGGTTATACGGGGGATCTTTGTCTTTGAGTGAGTGCGAGTTACCGTATGCACGCCCCGTGATGTTATACGACCGAGTTCTCGTGATTGTATCGGATGCAACTTCGCTTTTATTTTCGCACGTGTGCATCTCGTCGCGATTCACAATCCTATTCTGAAATTCCACGGGATATATCTCGCCAGAACGGGGTGCGCGCAACTCGTTGCAGAATAAACTTCGCTGAACCCACGCTCCTGGTCTCGACTCCAGTGTCTCTCACGTGCGTCGATCGTTTTAACTTTACAAAAGTGCCACCACCCACCACCACTTGTTGCACGGTCACCGCCTCTCATCGAGATCCTCCTCCACTCCCGGCCTCACTGCGGGGGGAGGAGGTGAAGTGAGTTCGTCTAGAATCCCTGGGGCTCACGGATCACTGACTTCTGGTTGCTCCTCGACCCGGGTCAGCTGTCATCTTGCGTGTCCCTCTTTGTCTCTCTGTGTATCCCTGTATGACTATCTTTCCCTGTCTTTGTCTCCATCACATTGTCTCCGTGTTTCTGCCACGCTTTCTCCCTCTCACTGTTCACTCTCTGTGTCGGTGTCTCCGTCTTCACCTTGCCTTGTCTCGGCATGTCTCTGTCTCTCTCTCTCTCTTGTCTTTGTCCATGACAACATCTGTATCACTCTGTTATCTCGGTCATCGCGTTTCTCTGTCTCCCTCGGAAACAATTCGGCACGATGATAAAAAAAATCCCCAACTTTTCAGTCTTCAGGCACATACTCAATGTAAACTGCATTGAGTTTAGGCACGGGCGAGAGAGTGTCCGAGAGAGAGAGAGGGGGGAGCTCCTGGTCGTTGAGGAGACGTTGAGGAAACATCTCCGAAGCAGGGTGTCCAGGCAAGGACACAGGCTTTCCACGTGGTGAACAGGCCGTGCTACAGCACGGTTCAATAATTAATTTACTACGAGCCTTAAACGCTCAGCCTTCTTCATGGTCGGCCGTGAGGATCGACCTCACACTTCCCTCCTCCCCCCCCCAGCTATCTAGAGGTAACCTGCCTCACTGCGAAGTATTTTTACTTCGTAGTTTTCTTGGTTATTCCAGCCCAAGCAGCAACACGCCCCCTGCCCTGGCCTCACTCAAGACATTCCCACTCTTACAAACTCCCCCAGCTGTCTCCCCAGCCCTCCCCTGGACTCTTGGTATTCTCGTGTATTGGAGAAATATTATGTGTCCATTAAATGCCTATCACACAATAGGCATTTAATGGACGTATAAACAACATGCATATAACCAAATCGCCCCAAGCTCATCAGATGTCAGAATCTAAGCAGGGATGAGTCAGGAAAGTCGATGTATGGGCAAACAACAAGGAAGCAAGTCCGTCACCGGTGGTTGAAAGGCCACGTGGTGGGCACTAAAATAAATTCCACTGCTTCCATGTTCCCTTCCTTGAGCAAACAATAGGAGACTTGTTTCATACTTGTGTAACTACTTTGTGGCCATTAAATAAATAAATATGTTGCATGAATGGCTGCAGGCAGTTACTGCATGATACATATATATTTTTTACTTTTTTGTCACCAGGTAAGCCTATTGAGCTATACAGCTCTTTTTCAGAAGCGACCTGGTCACAAATCATGCTACACGAAGTGACTCATCACGTGGAATTTATAGCAGACAAATAATCTAAACCAGTGTTCTTCACTCACATTCAGTGGGGGGCCCACATTCAGTGGGGGGCCCACATTCGCTGATAAGACACCATCAGTGTGTGCGGGCCGCCACACATTTGAAACCATCGGTTTTGACAACAGCACGATGGTGATGATGATGGGTGTTTTTACATTTGTGTATTGTCGGAGGCCCCACTAAAGGCCAACAAGGGCCGCTAGTGGCCCGCGGACCTTGCAATGAAGAACAGTGGTCGAAACGAATTTTTCTAAATGTGGAGGGAAAAACCTTGAGAAAAATCCACGCTACCATGCAAACTCCAAATATACAGCAAGCGTCAGTGTCGGGATCGAACCCACGATTGCCTGTATACCAGGCGAGGTAGCTAACATCTCCCCACCGTGGCACCCCACACATGAAGTCCTCATGCATTACTAAAATAAACCAACATACCCCTACCATTGTTTAATTCAACCCGTAGTTCAAGAATATGGTACATTAATGATATTGAGTTGTACCATTGGTATTGTTGTTTAGTTTAAATATTCTCATGATTATAAACCTCATGTACTATGTGCATTGGCTTACCTGCATACAATGGTGATGATGGTTTTAGACATGGAAAACTATGGAGGACGTTTGTGTCTCTGGCACTCCCCTCTCCTGCCTCAAGTCTTACATTTCTTCTAGCACATCATCAGTCTCCTTCCGTCACTCTATGAGGCACTACGGTGGCGAGATCTAATGTGATGTGCATGCTCTCTGGGTTTTCCCTCCACATTTACAAAACATGCATTTTGAATATTTATCTGCTATAAATTTCCATGTGATAAGCCGCTTTGTTGAGCTATCAGTTGTGGCCAGGTGCGCTTCTGCAAAAGAGCTACATAGCGTAGTGGGCCTTACCTAACAAAATAAAATATATATTTTCAAAATAGATACTCCTCTCCCCACAGTGTCGGTGTTCCACAGGGTTCGGTTCTCGGTCCCTAATTCTTGTCTCTATATTTTGCCTCTAGACTCTCTTCTCTCCTTTTTCAGCTTTCCTCGCCATTTATTTTGCCGATGACACCCACATATTCTCATTTCCTCATTTTACCATCTATCGTGATCGCCCATTCATTATTTGCACGCCCCTGCTATCTAAAGCAGTTTTTTAAAATTATGTTTATTTTTTTACTATGTTAAGCGCCTTGGGCAAAGGCACTGTATAAATGTTAATTAATATAAGATTGACTTTCAATACGTGCCTGAACTCCTGGGTCTTATAAGGGGCATCCAGAGCAAATGTTAGAGTGGAATGATCTTGGAATGAGCTTATTCAATGTTGTATTGGAGGCGGATTGTTACACAACATTACAGTAATCAAATAATGGGAGTAAGGTAGCCCTTACCAATTCTAACCGAAACTTAGCTGTAAAGCAATGTTTATGTCTATAGAGAAAGCTATTTTTTTATTTTGCATTCCTCCCAGTGCGTTCAATGTGTTCCCGGAAAGCGAGTTTAGAGTCTATGATGACCCAAGGTAATTTATTTTATCAACTTATTCAATTAGTTTGTTGTCCAGCGTGCATAGCTTACGCAAAATTCCTGGTTGTTTTTGTCCTGGAGATAAATAAATAACTTGATTTTATTGGCATTCAGAACCCACCTTTCCATGGCCTTGCATACTACCAGTGGACCACGGACCACCACGGAACCCCTGATGTAGAGACCAGCAAAATGGTAAACAAATGAACGCAGAAAACTATCAACAACAGTAGTTCCATTTAGTATATTTCCAAATTCATCAGTGCTCACGTAAGCATTAATAATAGCAATAATATATATATAAAAAAACCTCACGTATACCATTTCCTTAATTTAAATTTGGGGAAATACCCTGAGATGTCTGTGACTAAAAAAGTACAAAAGGTGTTTGTGCGATACGGGAGTGGCACTCCTATAAATACGAGACCAGGGCACCTGGACACTACTACAGCTGATGCTCATCCAGCAGTCACGATGAAGGCACTGCTCAGCATCGTCCTCGGTCTTCTCTTCCAGGAGCTCGCTTGCGCCATTTATGTAAGCTACACTGTCTGTTGCAGGCCAGGCTCAATTTCTTACTGAATATTTACTGGGTCGCTGGTAGACTGGACTACCCATGTGACTAGTAGTCAAAGCCATGATGAGAGGTATACTGGATGTGGTGTACTGTGTGTTATTTTTTTTCCCGTGTTCCTGAGCGGACAGATCTGGCTGAAATTAAACCCTGGTTGCAGGCTGTGCTGTGGTTTCCCTAAGACTTTGAGAATAAACAATAGCTAATAGCTTATGATGACATTTTTGTAATTCTACATGAATAATTCTCATCAGCCATGGAATATCCACTGCTGGATGAAGGCCTCCATAAGATGTCGCCGTCTTTCATGCTCATGTGATTCCTCCACAAAGTCTACCAACAAAACGTTGCACACTCTAAAATACATTTTCGGAAGAATATATTTACAATTATTGTTATGTTTAAAGTAAGCGAGTGTGAGTGTGATGTGCTTTCACGTTTGTGATCTTCTCTTCAAAGCTGGCCCCTGGCGCCTACACTAACAGCTCCCGGGATGCGGAGGGCCAGTGCGTGTGTAACGTCTATCTGCCGGACCCCGTCTTCCCGGCCGACATGGTGGAGCAGCTGCAGCTCAGCACCCAGACGATTGCCACGGCTGTCACGGTGGAGTCAAAGAAGGTGACCTCTTCTTATTTCACCAGGAGCTTAAACATTGCCCAATGAAGCCAACATGAAACATGACGGTGTAGGTTTTCACGGTGATGCTTGCATAGCTCTCCGATGTGTTTCGGGGCTGTGCCACGTGTTGTGCCGCATAATGTCTGACGTTTTACTCCACATGTTAAGAGCTTCGTCAGGATTTGACTTGTGCTGGGTTAAAGCATAAGTTTTAGAGATAAAGCATGACTTGTACATGAAAAACAAGGTATTTGTAATACAAATTCGAAATTGTACTTTAAATTCATAACAAATACGAATCAAAATCAAGTATTATTCTAATTCATGAATAAAGTATTACAAAATATATAAATGTCATAAATACAAAAACATACAGTAAATGTAAAAATATAAAAGCAGATGCATCTACAATAATGTATGTATAGTGAACTTTTTTCCCACCGTACGTAGCCAACCGTACTAATCGGAGGGGCAGATATTAAATAAAGAGTAATTTAAAATCGAAATCATCTTCGCAAATGTAATTGTCACAAGATGCAACTGGGATGCAGTTATTCCAAGAGCGATCTAAGTTATGAGAAACATGATTCTTAACATCCTGTCATTAATATTCAAGAACATTTTCTTGCTGTGGTTTTCACACCTGATGATGATGATTGCTTGTGTTGCAATTGAAACGTCGTGAGAATTGTATTGTTTTATTTGTATTATTTTATTATTTCCCTTCTATGTGACTTTAACGAAAGAACCAAGAATATGAATCCCTGCAGTCACGAAAGCTTTAAATCGAAATAAAAATACTGTCATTAACTCTTGGAACAGAACATTCTAATTTTGTGAAACATCTTAGACAAAACATGTGCAAAAGCCCCATATTTATCGTGTGTATGCAAAAAAACATTTCCTGAATTAAGTGCATTTTGTATTTTTTGGTTCTTTCAGTAAAGTCACGTAAATAGAAAATAATACAATTATAAATAATAAAAATAATACAATTTAAAATATTTATTTAAAAAAAAACTTACGGCGTTTCGATCGCAACACAAGCGGTCGTCTTGAGTTTTTTTTTTCTATCTACGTGACTTTACCGAAAGAACTAAAGAATATGAATTTCTGCGGTCACAAAAGTTTTAAATCAACATTTAAGTGCATGTTAGTCCTGTTGGCTTATGTGACCGTAAAAATGCATACGAACAAACGCGGACAGTAAGCAGCAGTCACAGACAATTTTTGACCAATGTCATCATTATTAGGACTCATCAGCACAGTATACTCACCATTGCTCACTGGTCTGCTTCTGGGAACCACATATGTGGGGTCCCTACATCCACACTATGAGGCCCATTTGCTTGGCTATTGCAAACAATGGTCTCATATGTAAATTATGAAAAAAACATTGTAACAGAATAATAGTGCAGGCTGGAAAACCACGAGTTTCAAACAAGATACAACATTTTATTTTAAAAAAGCACACGGGCATTGTGGGTGTACAAAAGAGCATCAGCATTTCCAGAAGGAGTTCCTTGTGGATGCTGTCAGTTTTTTGCTCAAATGTATTTTGATGGTTATATACGACAAGTGGTGCACAACGCCCTTCAGGAAACGATTATGTTTTTGCACAATGGCTGCCTTTTATGTACTTTTGTGTCTTATTTGAAACATGGGTTTTCAACGTTCTCTATGATTCTGTTATGAAAGCAAATTATCTTCTTTGGTTCTTTCGGTAACGTCACGTAGAATGAGAATAAAATAATAAAATAAAATTACAATACAATTATCACGACGTTTCGGCCACAACACAAGTGGCCTTCTTCAGGTGAAAGGAACAAACCTGTCGGGACGACAGAGCTTCAATGAACGCTGTTAAGATTCGCTGCGTCTTTTAAGCTGGTTGAGAGAAGTGAGGCACCTTGACAAAGGGGTTTACATATCAAACTGGAGAATTTAGCATTTAAATGGCTGAGGGATTAGCTTGTGACTGGTCACAGAAATGGCTATGTTAAAGTCAAAGCCTACACATCCACAGAAGCACTTAGTACAAATCAAACAGGAGAATTTAGCATTGAAGTAGCTGAGGGATTAGCTTATGACTGGTCACAGAAATAGCTATGTTAAAGTCAAAGCCTACACATCCACAGAGGCACCTAGTACAAATCAAACAGGATAATTTAGCATTGAAATAGCTGAAGGATTAGCTTGTGACTGGTCACAGAAGTAGCTATGTTAAAGTCAAAGCCTACACATCCACAGAGGCACCTAGTACAAATCAAATAGGAGAATTTAGCATTGAAATAGCTGAGGGATTAGCTTGTGACTGGTCACAGAAATAGATGTTAAAGTCAAAGCCTACACATCCACAGAGGCACCTCGTACATGGACGCCAAAGGGGCTGCAACAACTCAACTATCATACAGTAAACCGATGTGAAAAAACCTAAGTCTAAATTACATCAATATAATAAATGTATATTCTTAGTTTTTTCGGTAAAGTCACGTTGAAGAGAAACAACAAAATAACAAAATATATATAAAACACTAAAAAATTCTCACGACGTTTCGACCATAACTCAAACGGTCATCATCAGGTGTGTCGGTTTGCATAAATTTATTTTGAAAACGGCCTATTTATTTATATATATTTAAAAAAAATAACGTTTGCGTCACGCGCAACGATTGGCAGTTTGCCCAGGACTAGTCCATCTATTTTTTGAAAAGAGGAGGGGGGAGACGAAATTTGTTTTTATGTATGCTGTCTGAAAGCCACTGTAAGCGTGAACAATCAATCAAGAACTGAAATGATTTATCAAATCTTTCCAATGATTGCTAAGATAGAATCCATCTTCTCGGTTGAAATTGTCTCTGTGCTTGTATATGTGGATAGCCTCATGAACGAATCTCTCATGGAAGCCAGATGGCTTACAAAGAACCTCCGTCTTGGAAAAGTCAATGGCATGTGAGCCTACTGAATTAGAACAATGATCTGCTACGGCCGAGGTGTTGGTCCTACCGTGTTTAAGGTCTGCTTTATGTTCACGAATGCGGTCCGAGATATGGCGTTTGGTTTCTCCAATGTAACTACTACCACAGAGGCAACTTAGTTTGTAGACACCAGGGTATTGTATGTCCGGAATCACATCTTTTACAGACGAAACCAGATCACGGATTTTATGTAATGTGTTGAAACGGACCTGGATCTTGTGTTTATTCAAGATTTTGGAGATCTTTTTTGTGATCCCAGCAATGTAGGGTAAAGTGATGGTTTTGAAAGGCTCCTCAAGAGGGTTCTTCTTCATGGTTTGAGTGATAGCTTTGCGGATTGTATAGTCGGAGTAACCATTAGCCCTAAGAGCTTGGTGTACGTGCTTGAGTTCACTGCTTATGTGTTCCTGGTCGGATATGCATTGGGCTCTATGATACAGAGTCTTGATGAGAGAATTCTTCTGTGATGGATGGTGGTGGGAATCCGGTTTCAGATAAGCATCCGTATGGGTAGCTTTCCTGTAGACAGAGTGGCTCATTGAACCATCAGGTCTCTTTTTAATTAGGACATCCAAAAAAGGTATCTTGCCATCTATTTCGACTTCCATGGTAAATCTGATGGCTGGGTGTATGGAATTGATGTGGTCGAAGAATTGGTCTAGAGCAGGCCGGCCATGTGGCCAGATGACAAAAGTGTCATCCACGTACCTCTTCCATAAGGTTGGGCGCAGAGTGGCAGTCTGGATGGCGTCAGTCTCAAATTTCTCCATGAAAATGTTAGCTATAACTGGAGAAAGGGGGGAGCCCATTGGGGTGCCCTCAGTTTGTTTGTAGAAAGTTCCATTCCAAGTGAAGTATGTATTGGTTAAACAGTGTCTCACCAGGGGGGGTACCTCAGTGTTTAGTCCTTGATGAACCAAGTCTTCAATGATTGCAATGGTGTCAGGTACAGGAACCTTGGTGAATAAGGAAACTACATCAAAACTGACAAGCAGGTCGTCTGGGGACAGGGAAATACCCTTGATTGTTGATACCAGGTGAGTAGAATTTTGTACCGCAGAGGTGGTCTTTCCAGTGAAAGGACGCAGGATTTCAGACAAAAAACGAGCTAGTTTGTAGGTGGGGGAGCTGATAGTAGAGACTATGGGACGAAGAGGTGTATCAACTTTATGATTATACGGCTTACCAAAAATACAACCCTCAAAAACGCTAAGATGCCAGCTAGCAACCTCAGCAAAGATGAGCGTTTTGAATTATATAAATTAAAAAAGAGGAATGATATTGTAGTTCTCTCAGCTGACAAAGGCAATGCTACTGTCATCATGGATAAAATAGAATACAACAACAAAATTAAAGAATTACTCGACGATGGTAGTTATACAAAAATAAAAAGAGATCCCACCAACAGCCTCGTCACACAAACCAACAAAATAATTTCTGATTCAACCGCATTAATTGATCAATCTAAACAGTTTTCGTTGAAACCTTCTGCTGCCAGGCCACCAAGATTATACGGCTTACCAAAAATACATAAAGTTGATACACCTCTTCGTCCCATAGTCTCTACTATCAGCTCCCCCACCTACAAACTAGCTCGTTTTTTGTCTGAAATCCTGCGTCCTTTCACTGGAAAGACCACCTCTGCGGTACAAAATTCTACTCACCTGGTATCAACAATCAAGGGTATTTCCCTGTCCCCAGACGACCTGCTTGTCAGTTTTGATGTAGTTTCCTTATTCACCAAGGTTCCTGTACCTGACACCATTGCAATCATTGAAGACTTGGTTCATCAAGGACTAAACACTGAGGTACCCCCCCTGGTGAGACACTGTTTAACCAATACATACTTCACTTGGAATGGAACTTTCTACAAACAAACTGAGGGCACCCCAATGGGCTCCCCCCTTTCTCCAGTTATAGCTAACATTTTCATGGAGAAATTTGAGACTGACGCCATCCAGACTGCCACTCTGCGCCCAACCTTATGGAAGAGGTACGTGGATGACACTTTTGTCATCTGGC